AGACAAATATCATTATCATGTTTACAACGTGATCAAATTGAACGAAAGTCTTATCACGAATTAAAATATTCATTATTTTTGGAGAAAATGAATAGTTTAGAGCTAAAGAATATTGAATAGAAATAGAAGAATATACATGATGTATACGTATACATACATCAAAGGATACAATTAATCTATCAAAATGTAATTAAAACAAAAAATGTGTTGTGCTGTTATGCCGCGGCATGAGAACGGCAGGGCGGCATAGCGGCTGAACGGCGGAGCGGTATGAGAACGGCAGAGAGGCATAGCGACAGAGCGGCATAGCGTCCGAGCAGCTGAACGGCAGAGTGGCCGGCCGACCGGCAAACATTTTGAAATGTTCCCTTATCTGAAAGTTCATTTCGTTACGAACGGATTTTTATTTTGAATATGAAGTAAATTTTTTAATCTTACAAAGTCGATAGATCTGCATCAATAGATCCAACCTTTGTGTACTAATTTGGGTAATATGCCTAGTAAAATAGAAAAAAATAAGCAAAGAAAGAAAATATCCTAAAATGAAAGAACAAATCAAATGAAATTAATTTCTATTTTAAATATGCTTTCAATAGTTTCGCTGCGAGCAACGCTTAAATTAAAACAACTATAATACAATTTAGCAAAAGAACATCATTACCTAAACGAATACGCAAATTTATTTTACCGCTGTATAATGAAAGTATTATCATTGATGATTAGGCGCGGTCGTTTTATTTCTCCTGTATGTGCTGGCTTTTTTGGAAGCTTTATTTTTTACGTAACGTTACACATATCTTGTTACACTCCAGTTATTATGAAATCTCTAAATTTTGATTACCGTCGACGACCAGAGTGTAGTTGTTTAAGACCAGAATTATCGCATTTGTCTTCCCATTGGATAACAAATGAACAACAACCAGCTTTCTGTAGTCATTATAGTTCACAACGAGGACCTCATCAACGTATCATTTCAATCAGTCTCTTTGGACCAAAAGAGGTTAAAAAGTTTGAAATCCATAGAACACTAAATTATCTTAAACTTCTTATAAATGATCTTGATATAATGTATTCCGATGGATTTATATTACGTATTTATCATGATAATACAATAAATGCAACAGATACTATCTGTCCAATTGAATGTGAGCATTCAAATGTAGATTTTTGTAATATGGAGAACAAAACGTTTATACCACCAAAAATCTGGCGTTTTATACCAGCTGGTGATCCATTAGTTGATATTAGTAAGTATAATATAATCAAAAAATATCGTCAGTTTTTAAATACACGAAATTACTTACATAGTCTTAAGTCGTGATCTTGATTCAGCGTTAACAAAACGAGAACGTGAAGCTGTTGATACGTGGCTCGCTACAAATAAATCCTTTCATGCTATGCGTGATCATCCTAAACATAAGCTTCGTATGCTCGGTGGTATGTGGGGTTTTCGGCCATCGTTAAATCGACGTTTATCTCGTTTCATACTCGATAAAATTCATAATCGAGACTTAATCAAACGCTATACTGGTCGTGCTGATCAAGGCTTTCTTGCTTCTCATATTTGGCCATTTGCAAAATCAAGTCTGCTTGTTCATGATAGCTTTTCTTGTGAAAATAACTTCGGACATCCAACAGAGCCATTTCCAACACAAAGACCATCAGCTAATGAAACGAATTGTTATGTAGGTTGTGCAAGACCATGTTGTGGTCATGGGAAAATGCCATTTGCTGAATGTCCAAAACAATGTCGACCACCAGATCATCCAGAATGGATTTATTGTTAGATTCTTTGTTAGTTTATTTACTTTTTTTTATCTTATACATTAAATATGTTTACATGGATCTCACAAAAGAATATTTTTAGCTGTTGAATTACTTTCGAAACGAAACTATCTTGAGGGTGTGGGG